TTATTAGCTAATGGAATATAGAATTTAGTGCCCACATATGACAAAAATATCCTTCACAAATGTGATTTAGAAACTTCAGTAAGCAGTCAAAGAACTATAACTCAAAACAAGTGGCAACATCAAACACTGAAGAAATGACCATATCCATTATCAAAAGTAGTAATACTCAGAATGTCCACTTTGCTACCAAAAATTACAAGGCATGAAAAAAAGAAAGAAAGAAAGTATGATCCACTCAAGGCGGAAAAAAAAAAAAATCACAGAAACTGTCCCAGATGAAGCCCAGACTTTGGACTTATTAGAAAAAGACTTTAAATTGACTGTCTTAAACATGCCCAAAGTGTTAAAACATGGACAAAAACTAATGGAAAAGAGAAAATGATATCTCATGAAGTAGAGATAGAAATAATAGCAAAAAAACATGAAAATTTTGAAACTGAAAAGTAAAATAACAGAAATAAAAAATTCACTAGAGGATTTTAACAGCATATTTGAACAAGCCAAATAAAGAATCAGCAAACATTAATATTTTAACTGAGATTATCTGGTATGAAGAACAGAAAGAAAAAAAAGCAATGAATAAAAATGAATAGAGCTAAGGTACCTGCAGGACACCATCAAGTATACCAACATATGCATCATGGGACTCCCAAAAGGACAGCACAGAGAGAAAGGGGCAGAAATAATATTTTAAAAAAATAATGGCTGAAAACTTTAGAATATGATGAAACACATGAATCTACACCTCTAAAAAGATAAATGAACTCCAAGTAGCATAAACTTAAAGAATTCCACTGAGATATGTTATAATCAATTTGTCAAAAGTGAAAAACAAGGAGAAAATCTTGAAAGCAGAAGGAAAGAAATGACTGGTCATGTACAACCAGTCCTCAATAAGAGTAAGAGCCAATTTCTCCTCAGAAACCACCCAGGCCAGAAAGCAGAGGGTTGACATGTTAACATGCTGAAAGAAAAAATTTAGAGACTATCTCAGTAGTAGATTTAACTCATTGAACACTAATGACCAAAGACCAGACGAATTGTGGTATCACATCAAGGACTTCATACATGAAGAAAACAAGGGGTCATTAAAAAGAAAGAAAAGACAAAAACAGATGTCAGAAGAGACTCTGAAACTTGCTCTTGAATGTTGAGTAGCTAAAGCAAAGGAAGATATGGTGAAGTAAAAGAGCTGAACAGAAGATTTCAAAGGGTGGTTTGAGAGGAGAAAGTAAAGTATTATAATGAAATGTGCAATAAGCTGAAGTTAGAAAACCAAAAGGGAAGAACACACTTAGCATTTCTCAAGCTGAAAGAACTGAAGAGAAAATTTAAGCCTCGAGTTGCAATATTGAAGGATTGTATGGCCAAAATATTGAATGATGAAATAAGCATCAAAAGAAGATGGAAGGAATACACAGAGTCACTTCACAAAAAAGAATTGGTTGACGTTCAACCATTTCAGGAGGAAGTATATGATCAAAAACCTCTGGTACTGAAGGAAGAAGTATAAGCTGCACTGAAGGTATTGGTGAAAAACAAGGCTCCAGGAACTCACGGCATACCAATTAAGATGTTTCAACAAACGGATGCAGCGCTGGAGGTGCTCACTCATTTATGCCAAGAAATCTGGAAAACAGTTCAGCAGTACATCAACAGGGAACTGCCAGAAATCCAAACCAGATTCAGAAGAGGATGTGGAACAAGGGATATCATTGTTGAAAGCAACGCTTTCTGTAAGCAGAAAATACCAGAAAGATGTTTATCTGTGTTTTATTGACTATGCAAAGGCATTCGATTGTGGGGATCATAGCAAATTATGGTTAACATTGTGAACAATGGGAATTCCATAACACTTAATTGTGCTCATGAGGAACCTGTACATAGATCAAGAGGCAGTTGTTTGGACAGAACAAGGGGATACTGTGTGGTTTAAAGTCAGGAAATGTGAGGCAGGGTTGTATTCTTTCACCATACATATTCAATGTATATGCTGAGCAAATATTCCCAGAAACTGGACTGTATGAAGAAGAACATAGCATCAGGATTGGAAGAAGACTCATTAACAATCTTCATTATGCAGATGACACAATCTTGCTTGCTGAAAGTGAAGAGGACTTGAAGCACTGACTGATGAAGATCAAAGACTATAGCCTTCAGTATGGATTACATCTTAACATAAAGAAAACAAAAATTCTCACAACTGGACCAATAAACAGCATCACTATAAATGGAGAAAAGATTGAGTTGTCAAGGATTTCGTTTTACTTGGATCCAGAATCAACACTCAAGGAAGCAACAGTCAAGAAATCAAACGATGCAAAACATTGGGCAAATCTGCTGCAAAAGACCACTTTAAAGTGTTAAAAAGCAAAGATGTCACTTTGAGGACTAAGGTGCGCCTGACCCAAGCCATGGGGTTTTCAATCGCCTCATATGCATGTGAAAGCTGGACAATGAATAAGGAAGACAGAAGAAGATCTGATGTCTTTGAATTACCGTGTGGGTGAAGAATATTGAACATACCATGGACTGCCAAAGAACAAGCAAATCTGTCTTGGAAGAAGTACAACCAGAATGCTCCTTAGAAGCAAGGATGGAAAGACTTCATCTCACATAGTTTGGACATGTTATCAAGATGAACTAGTCCCTGGAGAAGGACATCATGCTTAGTAAAGCAGAAGATCAGTGAAGAAGAGGAAGAACCTCAACGAAATGGATTGACACAGTGGCTGCAACAATGGGCTCAAGCATAACAACAATTATGAGTATGGTGCAGGATCAGGCGGTGGTTTGTTCTGTTGTACATGGGGTCGATATGATTGAGAACCAACTTGGTGGCACCTAACAACAATAGTAACAAAAGAAAAAAGTTTCTATGAAGAATTCTATATTCAACAAAAGTATCCTACAAAACTAAAGGACGTATTAAATATCCCCAGGTAAACAGATGCTGAGGAAGTTCTTCACCAGTTGTAGACCTGTCCTACAAGAAATCATAAAGGGAGTCTTTCAGGCTGAAATGAAACAGAAATTAAAATCCGTATTAACAAATAAAGAACCTCTGTAACAAGGCCCCTAAGGCAGAAGGGGAGTAGGAGGCTGATGATAGGGAACACAGAATAGAGTAAGGATATTGTTGATGTGTTGTGAGATTGTTAACCATTGTCATAGGGCAACATTTGTAGTAACTGTCAAATGGGAGACTATTTTGTCCTGTAAGCCTTCATCTTAAGTGAGAATAACAGCATAATTAGAAGAGCGTAGTCAATGTCACTTAAATGTGTATGTAAAAAAAATTTTTGAAATGGCGTATCTTTGGCTATGTGTATTTTCACCAAAAAAAAAAAAAAAAAAAAAAAAAAAGTTGAGTATTTAGAGGGTTAAAATGTTGTGGGGTTGTTAACCAATGTCATAAAACAGCATGTGTGTTACTGTTACATGAGAAACTATCTGTTCTGTAAGCCTTCACCTGAAGTACAATAAAATATTAAAAAAAAAAAAAAAAAAAAAAAAACTTTAAAAGAACCTCTGTAAATTCACTACACATGTATTGTACTTTTGGTTACAATTCTTCTTTTATCCCATATGATTTAAAACGATGCAATAATAGAACTATTATAAGTCTATATTAAGCGGTACAAAATATATAAAGTTATAATTTGTGACAATAACAACATAAAGGCGGGATGGAACAGAGTTTTTTATACTATTGAAGCTAAGGTTGTATTACTTGAAACTCAAATGTCATTGATTTCAGATATTAATTTTAATTCTGAGGATAGCCACTAAGTAAATAACTAAAAAATAAACAGGAAATGAAATCAGAACGTAATGAAAATGGTACACTACAAAAAATTCAATTAAACACAAAATAAGACATTAATGGAAAAAAGGAGGAACAAAACAGAGAAAACAAATAGTCAATGGAAGAACTGCTTCCGTCTCTGCCAGTCAATATTTAAATGCAAATAGACTAAACTCTCCAACTGAAAGGCAGAGATTGGCAGAATGTACTAAAAATAAAAAATCGTCTAACAAAATGCTGTCCACAGAAGACTCACTTTAGATCCAAAGACACAATTGGTTTGAAAGTAAAAGGATCAAAAAGACATTCCATAAAAATAATAACCAAAAGAGAGGAAGAGGCTGCACAATGTCAGACAAAATAGACTTTAAGTCAAAAATTGTTACATGAGAATAAGAAGGACAATATGTATTGATAAAAGGGTCAATCCATTGAGAAGACAGAACAATTATAAAAATATACACATAGCAATAAATTTTAAAAAAATCCGTTGCTGTCAAGTCAATTTTGACTCATAGCAACCCTTGAGGACAGAATAGAACTGCCCCGTAGGGTTTCCAAGGAGCGGATGGTGGCTTCAAACTGTCGACCTTTTGGTTAATAGCTGTCTTAGGCTGGGTTCTCTAGAGAAGCAAAACCAGTAAAGAGTGTAAATGTATATACATACAGAGAGAGATTTATATCAAGGAAATGGCTCATGCAGTTGTGGAGGCTGGAACAACCCAAGTCAGGATACAGGCTTCTCCTGATTCACATAGCCGCAGGGGCTGGTGAACCCAGTATAGGCAGGTCAGAGAGCAGGGCTTTTGCTAGCAGGCTACAAAGATCAATGAATCCCAAGATCAGCAGGCAAGACTGCAGGTAAACTGCTAGCTCAAGTCTCAAGAATCGGAGGTCAGATGAACTGCAGAATCCAGAATGAGCAAAAGCCCAAAAGCCTTGCCAGAGGGTCCACTTATATTCAATGCGGGCCACAAGCAGAAGGAAACTCCCTTTCAACTGATTGACTACTCAAAGCAGATCCCATCATGAGGGTGATCACATATCAAATCTCAAAAGGGAAGTGATCATAACGTTATATGACTGCCAAAACATGGAGAATCATGGCCCAGCCAAGTTGACACACAATCTTAACCATCACAGTAGCCATAGCTCTTAACTACAGCACTACTAGTGCTCCAAAGACACTGGCAGCCCCCTCTGAGATTTGAACTCGGGACCTTCAGATTATGAGACTGATGCCCTACCTACTGAGCTAAGGAGGCAACTGTCCCCACCTAACAATAGAAAGCCAAATATATAAAGCAACAATTGACAGAAATTATGTGAGAAATAGACAGTTCTAAAATAATAGTCGGAATATCATTAAGTCATTTTCAGTTGATCTTCTATATAGTTGTATACAACAATTATACAGAAGATCAATAAGAACACAGAGGACTTGAACAACACTATAAACCAACTAGTGTTAATATATACAGAACACACTACCCAATAACATCAGAATGCATATTCTTTTCAAATACACACAGAATATTCTCTAGGATACATCATACGTTAGGCCACAAAACAAATCTCTCAATAAATTTAAAAATATTGAAGTCATACAAATTATCTTCTGCAACCACAATGGAATGAAATTAGAAATCAAAAAGGGAAACTAGAAAGTTCAAAATATGTGGAAATAATACAATACATGCTTAAAAAATGGGTCAAAGAAGAAATCACAGGGGAAATTTTTAAATACTTTGGGATGGATGAAAAGGAAAACACAACATACCAAACCTTGTGGGATGCAGCTGTAAATGCCTAAATTGAAAAGAAGAAACATCTGAAACCAATAACATAAATTTACAACTTAAGGAACTAGAAAAAGAAGAGAAAACTAACCCTAAAGTCCTCAACAAAATACTCACAAATCAATCCAGCTGCATATTAAAAGAATTAAACACCATGACCAAGTGGGATTTATTCCAGGAATAAGGGTGATTCATTGTAAGAAAATCAATCAATTTAAACACACCACATTAATAGAATGAAGAAAAAAAACTCGCATGATCATCTCAATTGATACAGAAAAGCATTTGACAAAAACCAACACACTTCCATGATAAAAACATTCAACAAACTGGGAATAGAAAGGAACTCAATCAACAAGATAAAAGTCATTTATGAAAAACTCACAGCTAACCACATACTCAATGGTGAAAGAATGAATGGTTTCCTCCTAACATCAGAATAAAGACAAGGATGACCACTTTTACCACTTTTATTGAGTATTGTTCTGGAAGTTCTAGCCAGAGCAATTAGGCAAGAAAAAGAAACAAAAGGCATCCAAATTAGAAAGGAATAAGTAAAACTATCTCTGTTTGCAGATGACTTGATGTTATATAGAAGTGATTGTAATGAATCTACAATTATTGTCTAGTTGGCTCTGACTCAGGGCTACATTATGTATAACAGAACAAAACATTGCCTAGTCCTGTGCCATCCTCACAGTCTTTGATATTTTTGAGCCCATTGTTGCAGCAACCATGTTAATCCATCTCGTGGAGGGTTCCCCTCCATTTCACTGAAAACATAATGTCCAAACATGATGTCCTTTTCTAGTGATCGTCTTTCCTAATGAAGTGTCCAAAGTAAGCAAGAGGAAGTCTTGCCATCCTCACTTCTAAGGAGCATTCTAGCTGTATTTCGGCCAAGATGGATTTGTTCACTTTTCTGGCAGGCCAACGGGGTATTCAGTATTCTTTGCCAACACCACGAATCAAATGCATCAATTTTCCTTAGATCTTCCTTTTCATTGTGCAGCATTCACATGCATATGAGGTGTTTGAAAAGGCCATGGCTTGGGTCAGGTACACCTTAGTCATCAAAATGATGTCCTTATTTTTTAACACTTTAAAGAGGTATTTTGCAACAGATTTGCCCAATGCAATATGTAGTTTGATTTCTTGACTGCTGCCTCCATGGCCATTGATTGTTGATCCAAGTAGCAGGAAATCCTTGGCAACTTTAATTTCTTTTTCATTTATCATGATGTTGTTTATTGGTCCTGTTTTGAAGATTTTCATTTTATTTATGTTTATGTGAATGTGTGTGTGTATTTGTTGTTGTTATTTGCCTTTGATTGGATTCTGACTCATGGAGATCATGTGTGTGCAGAGTACAACTGCTCCATAGGGTTTCAAGGCTGTGACCTTTCAGAAGCAGACCACCAGGCGTGTCTTCCTTTTGCACCACCCAAAGATATATAGAGAGAGCTAATAAAAAAATTCAGCAAAGTTACAGGATACAAGATCAACACACAAAAATGAGTTGTGTGATTAGAAATGAGTAATCAGAAAAATTATTTAAGAAAACAATTACTTTAGCAAGAACATACAGAATACTAAAATATTTAGGAAAAATTTAAGCAAACTGGTGTGAGACTTGTACACTGAAAACTACAATACCTTGATGAAACAAATTAAAGAAGACCTAAATGAATGGAAAGACATTTGTGTTCATGGATTGGACCATTTAATAATACTAAGATAGCATACTTTGTAAAGTGATCCACAGATTCAATGCATTCCCTATCAAAATCCTAAAAGCTTATTTTACAAAATTGGAAAAGCTGATCCTACAGTTCAAATGCAATTGCAAAGGAGCCCAGATAGTGACATCAATTTTGGAAATGAAGAATGAAGTTAGAGGACTCACACTTCTCAATTTCAAAATTTATTATAAAGCTGGAGTAATCAAATAAGTGTGACACTGCCTTAAGTACAGACATATAAATCAATGGAACAAACTTGAAAACCCAGAAATAAACCAATGTATCTATGTTTAATTGATTTTCAACAAGGGCACCAATACCATTTCATATTAAAGAATAGTCTCTTCAGCAAATAGTGCTGGGACAACTGGATCTGCACATGCAAAAGAATGAAGGTGAACTCTTACCTTACAACACATACAAAAATTAACTCCAAATGGATTTAAAAAAAACCCTAAATAATAGAGTTAAAACTATAAAACTCTTAGAAGAAAACATAGTGGTCAGTCTCCATCACCTTAGGTTTGAGAATGGTTTTAAGATATAATACCAAAAGCACAAGAACAAAAGAAAAAAATAGATAAGTTGAACTATTAAACTGTTAAACTATTTCTAGTTTGTTCAGTGTTTTTATCATGAAAAGGTGTTGGATTTTGTCAAATGCCTTTTCTGCATTGATTGAGATTATTATGTGATTCTTCTCCTTTGTTCTACTAATGTGATGTATTACATTGATTTATTTTTCTGATGTTGAACCACCTTTACATTCCTGGAATAAATCTCGCTTGATCATGGTGTATAATCCTTTTCATATGGTGTTGGATTCAGTTAATAAGTATTACATTGAGAATTTTTGCATCTGTATTCATAAGGGGTATAGGTCTGTAGTTTTCTTTTGATGTCTTTGGCTTGGCAATCAGTGTAATGATGGTCTTGTACAATGAGTTATAAAGTGTTTCTCCCTCTTCTACTTTTTGGGAAGAATTTAAGAAGGATTGGTGTCAATCCTTTAAATGTTTGGTAGAATTTTCCAGAGAAGCCATCTGGTCCAGAACTCTTTTTTAGGAGGGAGGTTTTTGATCATTGATTCAATCTCTTAACTTGTTATGAATCTCTTGAGATTATATATTTCTTATTGAGTCAATGTATTTAGGGTTTTGATTATTTTTTTCCATTTCACCTAGTTATCTAATTTGTTGGTGTACAAGTGTTCATAGTGTTCTCTTATTAAACTATTTCTGTAGGGTGAGTTGGAATGTTTCCACTTGCGTTTCTGATTTTAGTTATTTGCATCTGTCGATTTTATTGATCTTCTGAAAGAACCAACTTCTGGTTTTGTTGGTTTTGCTATTTTTCTAGTCTCTATTTCTTTCATTAAGGCTCTGATATTTGTTATTTACGCCCTTTTGGCAGCTCTGGCTTTAGTTTGTTCTCCTTTTTCTAGTTCCTCAAGTTCTAAAGTTATTTATTTGAGCTCTTTTTCCTTATTTAATGCAGGCATTTACCACTGTAAGTTTAACTCTGAGTTCTGCCTTCACTGCATTACTAATTATATTTTGAATCTGTCCTTTCTTGTCCTCTCTATCTTGTCATCACCTGAAGTTAGTTAGGCCTCCTTATCTCTATCTGGGATAAGTGTGCTCTCCTCCTCACAGAGTGAATGTTCTAACACCTAAACATGACCTTATTACTTCTCTAAAATCCCATAGAGGCTCTTCATTGCCCAGAGGAAAAGTCCAAGGTCTTCACCCTGGTGTTAAAGCCCCTCCAAGATCTGGCCCTGGTTGGGCTGTCCAGCCGCATCTCCTCCTAATCTCCATCTAAACTCATATATATCTCAAGAAAAAGAGAACTACTGACAGTTCCCAACGCGCACCATATTCTCTCATGCCTCTAACCCTTTGCTTATGCTGCTCTCTCTGCCTGGAATACCATTTCTGATCCTCCCTACCTGGCTCACTGCTGTTCAACCCTCAGGCCTCAACTAGACATCGACTCCCCTACGCAGAGCCTGGATGTGTCAAGTGCCCGGCCCTGACCTTGGTGTTCCCACAGCCTCACCTATCAGAGCCTGCATCATGCACACTGCTTTGTAGTCCTCTGTTTATTCCTCTGTCTACCCCATTTAGACTACACAGTGAAGAAAGGAACCTATCAGACCAGTCTCTATTTTCAGCACCACCACAGAGCCTGAAACGCAGTAGGTATTCAGTAGATGTTTACGTCACATGTGGGCCAGAAATAAGCAGCAACTGCACTCTTTTAAGAAAGAGTTTGTTTGCTTGCATGTATAGCATATACTTTATATATTTGCATCATGCATAGCAAATGTATGTAATATTTAAACAATACTTCATATAAATATTTTTAATTATAACCCATGGTAAGAAATACATTTTACAGTGCAACTTGTACACATATATGTGTAAGCTCAAAGGTGCATATAAGATTACACATCCTGACTACTTGAAATCCATTATGATACATATATGTATATGTATATATATAAAATTTCCATGTTTTAAATTCTTGGTAGTGATGCACTGGAGTCCCTGGCTGGTGCAAAGAGTTAATGTGTTTGACTGGTATCCAAGAAGTTGGAGGTTCTAGTCCACCTAGAAACACCTCAGAAGAAAGGCCTGATGATCTACTTGCTAAAAATCAGTCATTGAAAACCTTACGGAGCACAGTTCCACTCTGACTCACAATGTGTCCCCATGAGTC